CACAGCAAAATGGCTTGGCTGAAAGAATGAATAGAACTTTACTTGAGAAAGTTAGATGCATGCTTTTAAGTTCTGGTCTTCCCAAGCTATTTTGGGGAGAAGCTACAATAACTGCTAGTTATCTTATTAATAGAAGTCCTGTTAGTGCTATACATTTTAAAACTCCTGAAGAAATGTGGAATGGTAAACTAGTAGACCTTAGTACTTTGAGAGTCTTTGGATGTGCAGGTTTCGCACATCAATCTGAAGGGAAATTGGATCCTAGAGCACTTAAGTGTGTATTCTTGTGTTATGGTGAATGGGTGAAATGGTTTAGGCTATGGGTAAGGGAAACCAAAAGATATAAGATCATTATAAGCAGAAATGTTGTATTTAATGAAAATGATCTACCTTGTTTAAAAATGATTAATAGTACTGAATCTTTAAGTCAGAGTGAGAGTATAGAGAGAGAAAGGTTGAAATTGAAGTGGAGCAAGTTGAGGATGATAATCAATTTCCTAATGTTTAGACTGGAGATGTTGATATTGAATCTTAAAGTAATGAAGAGTCTAGACATTTTGAAGCTGATCAAATCAATCTTTAGATGATTATCAACTTGCTTGAGATAGGCAGAGAAGGCAAGTGAAACCACCTGTGAGTTTTGATGATGAAGTTTCTTTACTTACTATTCAAGGGTTCATTGGAAATGAACATGTATCTTTTAATGAGGCTATGAGTAGCAAAGATTCCAAGCATTGGATTGAAGAAATGCAAGATGAAATGGAATCTCTTAAAAAGAATAAAACATGGATTTTGACTAAAGACCTGAAGATAAAAGGGTTGTTGATTGTAAATGGATCTTCAAGATAGAAAGGGGGGAACAAAATGTGCTTGGGTTTGATTTTAAAAAGAGTAATTTTGATGCCTATCTTTATTGCAAAGGAAGTGGTGGTGAAAATTCACTCTGTCTTCTTCTTTACGTTGATGATATACTTTTGACTAGTCATGATATAAAAGAAATAGAGTCAATTAAAAACAAATTGAAATCTAAATTTGAAATGGAGGACTTAGGTCCTGTTAGAAAAATTTTGGGTATTGAAATTAAAAGGAATAAAAGGGAAGGCATACGTAGTCTATGTCAAAAATCTTATGTTTTGAAAGTGTTGGAAAATTTTTCTATGTTTGATGCTAAAAGTGTGAGTTTACCATTAGCAAATTATTTTAAACTTTCAAATGATCAATGTCCCAAATCTGAAGATGAGTTCAAAAGAATGGCAAGAGTGCCATATTCTAATGCAGTTTGGTCTGTTATGTATCTAATGGTTTTTTCTAGACCTGATTTGGCATTCTCAATAAGTATATATATGTCAAATCTAGGTGAAGCTCATTGGGAAGCTAAGAAATGGCTTCTTAGATACATTAAGGGAACTTGTGACTTGGGGATTCACTATAAGAAATAATCTGAAGGTGTTTCCTTGAGGGATTACACTGATTCTGACTATGTATTTACTTCTGCCTATGTGTATACTTTGTGTAATTCTTGCATAAGTTGGAAATCATAATTACAAAAAATTGTTGCATTATATTCAACTGAAACTGAATATATTGCTACAACAGATACTATAAAAGAGGGAATTTGGCTAAAAGGACTCTTAAATGAATTTGGTTTTGTTAAAGATGTTGTTTTATATTGTGATAGCCAATCCGCCATTTATTTGAGTAGGAAACCTATTTTGCATAATAGATCTAAACATATTGATGTGGAATTTCATTTTATTAGAGATGTTGTCTCATAAGGTGTTGTGAAACCTGAGAAAATTTCTGCTCATTTTAACCTTGCTGATGTTGTATCAAAGTGCTGCACTTAAATAAGTTTTTGGGCTGAATAAACCAGCTGAACATTAATACTTGCTAATTTTTGTATCAGTAATAAGAGCAAATGATGCTATAATGGAGAAATCACTATAAATGAAGCTGGGATCGTTGTACCAAGGTGGAGATTGTGAAGAAATTGTGGCACAATGATTATTGGGCTGCTGTTGTTGCTGTTAATTGGGCTAAATATGTTAACTGGTGATTGGGTTGTTGGGCTGGACTGTTACTTAATTACTTGGTGGCTTTTGTTCCATTCGGATTTAAGCGTGTTTTGTTAAAACACGTTTTTCACTTATTGCTTGGATTGCTTGAGACGTCGCTAGGTGTCACCCCACGGACCGTCGGATGGAGACCTTCTGGTGGCTTCTTTTGTACGCGTCTAGGGTTTGAGTTTATGGATGAAAAAATTCATTCTCTCACCCTCTCGAACTCTCTGTGCGCTCTCTTTGTCTTCTCCGTTCCTTGCACTCTGAAAATTGAAAGCACATCTAATCTATTATATTTGTAGCCTCTTGTATATGTCTTGAGTGATTTACTAAGGGTTATGGTTGTTATCCTTGTGTGGATTTCTGTTTTGATCTTGTTTCTGAGTGCCTGTGGTTTATTCTGAACGGTTCTTGGTTCCGGTTAATATAGTGATTTCTTCCGATTGGCATAAGCTCAAAAGGGGTTTAAGAACTCGGATTCTGAACCTCTTGCCTTAGGGCAAAAACCACGTGTTCTTTACTTGTTATTTTCAGTATTTTGTGCATTATTATTTCTGTTTTTGTTGGTTAAAGTGGCTGATAGTTTTAAACCCACTCGTTACATCTATAATCTTAAATCTTAATGTGAAAGCAGAGTAGCTTGCCGAATCAAAAGGCATGGAAATACGTTATCAATTTCCTTGATTACATACTTGTTTGGCAAAGGCATAGAAAGAGTTTTCTTACTATAATCGTGTAGTTCCATTTGTTACAATGGGCTTGAATTTGTTACTAATACGAAGAATCTGTCTCAGCGTGTTTTTTTTTTTTTTGCTGGTCACCGGATAATGGAAAGAACGATTGATATTCTTAATAGCGCTTGATATTCTTAATGGCACTTCCACCACTTTCACCACTCTGAGTTGAAAACCTACTCCCAAACTTGCACCGGTTTAGAACTTTCTGTTCAACTGGTCGAGCACACTGTGTAGCACGGATTTGACTTCAGATTAAAAAGCACCATATACAGTTTGCTTCAATGGGATTCTGCAGAATGACAGTGAGACCAGTATTCATTGACTAGTCGTCCAAAAAGTGAATCTTCTCTCTTCATTAGCTTCGCAGGTTCATCATACTCGACCAGTTTCCCTGCATTAAATTCCAAATTATGGTTTTCTCAAACATGGAGTATGTTATGTTAAGAATAAGTCACTTCCAAGTAATTTTTAATTTCAAACCATGAATGTAATCCTTATCTTGCTCTCAAAATAAGCAAGTTACATATTATTAAATGTTTGATTATTTATTTTAAAGCATACTTGTTACTTATAAGTAAACTTCTAAGCTTAGCCAAACATGAAGTGATGAAGACATAAAGTAGCACAACTCACCATCACTGATGGCTAGAACCATTGTGCAATCCATCACAGTCGGTATCCTATGGGCAACTGTGATCACAGTACAATCTGCGAATTCTGTCCTAATAGTTTTTTGCAAGATAGAATCCGTAGCATTGTCAATTGATGCAGTTGCTTCGTCCAGTACCAAAATCTTGCTTCTCCTCAACAAAGCACGTCCCAAGCAAAATAACTGCCGCTGCCCCATGCTCCAATTCGATCCATCTTCCACAACTGAAATGACGGGTTCATTTTGATTGTTATATTTTGCTATTATAAATATTTGTATCAAACATTTTCCCAAAAAACTTACCGTGAGATTCGAGGCCCTCTTCTTTCTCCTGAACAGCCTCTCGGAGCTGACACTTCCCAAGAACCTTTAAATTTCCAGGAGGAAAAAAAAAGGTAGATTATTGTCTATTGCTAATACCATACTCTGAATGGAAGGGACGAGATCTTTAATTTGTTTTATGCAAGCATTTCATATTCCTGTATTAGATGGCCTTGTTTCCTACTCTATGTAAAGCATTTTTGGTTTCCCGTTTTACTTATGACACTCAATCATAAAAATCTAAAGCGCCTAGTTCACATAGCTCTCACATTAAGGATAAACTACAATAAATTTGTGTGTTACTCTGCATTTTTGGTTTCCCATTTGTTTATTAATGTTCTCGAACTAAGGAATTAGGACATTGATCCATAACAAACAGTTCCAGGTATCAAGAAACTCGGAAGGCAACTAAAAATTACCTCCCATATTTCCTGGTCAGTATGTTGACCCAAAGGATCCAAGTTGTACCTCACGGTTCCATTGAAAAGAGTTGGGTCTTGAGGTATAATCCCAAAACGAGACCTCAAATCGTGAAGCCCAATTGTTGAAATGTCAATTCCATCCACCACAATCTTCCCTCCAGCAGGTTCGACCAGACGAAACAAGGCACCAATGAGAGTAGTCTTTCCACTGCCAGTTCGGCCAACAATACCAATTTTATGTCCTCCTTCAAATGTGCAACTAATTCCACGTAGAACAAGAGGCGTATCTGGCCTATATCTAATCTGTTTTGCATAAACATTATTTACTATTTAGTATATTTAGTATATAATAATTCTTTCACTACACCGAAAATTAATGCAAGCAAATATTACCTGCAAGTCTTGAATCTCTACTTTACCCTTATTTGGCCAACTGACTGGGGGACGGTTTTCTACAATCACTTCAGGAGCCTCACTTGGTATGTGCATATACTGCTTAAGCCTTTCTACAGAGATTATATAATTTGCCAACAGGCACTGGTTTTGAATGGAAAAAACTAGTGACATATTTAACGAGAGACCATAGGACAAAGCCATTCCAATAAATCCTGAAAAAAACAATGAACTGAATTAGGAAGGTCATATCTTCATCATTGTTAAAATAAGTTACTTATTTTCAATTTTTACCAAAAAAATATTTATTTTAAAACTAATTATTTACATATATGATATAAGTAAATCTACTCATAAGTTAAAACTTTTTCAGCTTAGCAAGATATCTTCTATAATCTAGAATATTATCGCGCACCAGAGCTGAAAGTTCCAGGAGGCAGTAAAACCATGCAGAGAGCCGACGAGGCAAGAACAGCTGCACTAAGAATTTCCAGCCGTTGGATCAACCATTCATTTGCTGCATAATAGTGGAAGAAAGGACTGGTATTTGTGTCGGTGAGTAGAAGGTTCTTCGCGAAAAAACGCTCTTCCTCTTTAAAGGCTCTTATTGTAACAGCTCCGGACACAGATTCGGCAAGATGATTTGCTACAAAAGATTTAGTGGTGCCATTTATCCGCATCAGCTCCTTTGCAGAAGAAAAGTAGTACTTCTGGAGGCATGGAAATGCATATTTGTTACACAAGATAACATTGACAAAGTGATGGAAAATTATAAGAGATTATTAGAATTAGTTTCCAATTTTGATGATTATTTTAGGAAACATAATTATGATTTGATTTTATAGTATTTCCTACATAGAATAGGATTTTTGAATCCCTATATAAATGGGTCTTATGCGTTGTAATTAAAAAGAAGTATTACCTGTAAGCGAATAGCTAGAATGACCATTGGTATAGAGACAAACAGAACTTGCCAGGTAACAACAGCTAGCACTGCAAGATTAGCATAGGCATTTGAGGTTGATCCAAAGGTGAAAATCAAGCTGAAAGGAACATCAAGATCAACAATACTCAAATCAACAGAGACCTGTATGAATAGAAATACACAAGCAAACCATTAGTTTCAAGGATATCTTCATCTCATAAAACATCTTTTAGTGCTTGTTCGTTTATGCAATATTGGATTGTATTATACACTATAACAAACCAGATTTTAGCTATTTTTTCTTCTTTAATACTGTCGAGTACTATCCAATCATTCTTAATAGACATGCCACTATTTCAAAATTAAAAAAATTTACCCGGCTCAATATTCTTCCCAAAGGTGTAGAGTCGTAAAATGACATTGGTGCACGGAATAAAGAATTCAGCAATTGTGAGAATAATGATTTTGACGACTGCATGCCCAAAACAACAGTGCAGAGGGATCGAAAGAGCAAAAAAAATGTTGATGTGATTCCAATCAACAAGTAAACAACGATCAATTTCAAAGTGCTAACATTCGGATCATCAACATTTGCAGCCATCCAAGAATTCTGTAATATTTGACCAATCACAAATGTGAGATGCGAGAGAGCGGCCATGGAGAAAAACAAAAACCCTTTGTTCTGGTTTAAATAATGAATGTAGGGCTTAAATCCCGTATCCCCAACTTCCCTTTCTTCTTGCTTTATCAACTGATCACCTCCAGCTGCTTTAGGTTTCTTGTCTGAAAAAGTCTTGTGAATCTCTCTAGGAGAAGTTTCCTGCCTTTTTGAAGATGCCAACCCCGAAAGCCTCTCAGAACCAGCTGTCTCTTTGTGTGCATTAACAAGATCGTGAAATTCTTGGCTTGTGGCCAGCAACTGAGGATAGGGAGCTGCTTGCAAAATTTCCCCATCTGACATCAACTGTTCAAAAGAGTAGACAAATTGCATCTCTCTCATTAATGAAAGTATATTTCCTAATTTTGGAAGAAAAAACTGAAAAATCACATAGCTGTGCAAATAAGTAACTGGTTAGAAATAATGCAGAAGGATACCATTACACTACAATGTTCCTCACTCACATCCACTAGCTTGCATTATCTACACTGATAAATTCAATTTGAAAACCAGGAAGACAAAATCAACTTCTTCAACGACAGAGAATTTGGAGGTCAAAGAAGGATTGGCTGATTTGGGCTATTGAACATCTTAAAACAAGACATATGCATGGAAAATGTGTTTTTAAGATATTGTGAGGGCTATAAAAAATGAATTATTATAATGATAGCTCACATATACCAATCAACAGAAACCAAACTCAAAATATCAACTTGAAACCAGGATTGCTCAACCAACTTATTCAAGGAGAGAATTTATGGCAAGAAAGAAATGGGGGAGATTACACAAGTATAAACATTTAAGATGTTGGTAGGTGAGTGAATAGACAGATAAGAACAATTAAGATCTTCATCTTATTGAAATATAATACCTTTTCCTCCGAAAAGTTTACTTTCAGTTTCAAAGAAATGTTACATTGCAATAACATTTCAATTGATCTCCACTTCTCTAAATTTTACTCCAAGGTACTATTACTAGATGAATTGTCCATTTGCACTATCTAGACATCAAATTCAGAGATGTGTTGTTCCACTTGTTACCTTGTAGTTGGATCCAGTGGTGACACGACAAGAGGTGCTCCGATATTATTGTACACATTGCCAAGTAATATTGGTGTTCAAGGTCTCTTGAAATGGTAGCAATAACGCGTATTGGTAGCATTAGAATAGGTGATGATAAGTCACTCCAACATAAATAATTGTTTAAATTTAAACCATGAAATTCAATTGAAGTTGGAGAAGCGCTCAGAAACTTCCTCCGGACTTCCACCTTTCACCACATTAGGGGGCCATTGCTTTGAAAGTATAACCTGATCTCTTTTGGTATACTATTCAACGTCCTTGACCCCGTGCCCCAACCAGAAGAGGGAAAAGAAACAAGAAGGCAAATAGACATGAAGGAACACCAACCAACTGGTATTCACTGGCTAACAGGATGAAATTGTTTCTCAACAAACTCGATTTTCCACACAACGATAGCATTAATATAAATAACTCATGTTGTTTAGCTAGTAAGAGTTTCACACAGCTGAACTTAAAATCTTAATTATAAAATATACCCCAGTTTGGGCCACCTTTTTATCTCATTAAAATTAAAAATATGACCGTTATTCATCACATCAACATTTAAATTCAAATTTTCTATCTCTTGTGTGAGCCCCAATAACAGCTATATTTTTCATTCTCATTCTACAAAAAGGTGGCTCAAACAGGGCCTAAATGCGTGAACTAAAAACTCACCAAAACATAATCGAATGCAGGCAGGAAGTCAACTTGATGAGTCACAAGTAAGACGGTCTTCCCTGCAAGGGCTGTCATGACATATTCCTGCCAAGATTCATTCCAGCTTGTAACTTACGATGAGAAATATACATACAGCTTATTTTTATAAAAAAGTACTTACATTAAACAGGCTTGTGGCAGTATGAGCGTCAACAGCACTGAAGGGATCATCCAGGAGATATATTTGAGCATCTTGATACAGCGCACGAGCAAGCTGAATTCGTTGTTTCTGGCCACCACTAAGATTAACTCCTCTTTCTCCTATTTCAGTGAGATCACCATAGGGTAGCAATTCAAGATCCTTTACCAGTGAACACCTCTCTAAAGTATCTTGATATTTCTGGCTGTCCAAGGCTGAACCGAAGAGAATATTTTCTTGAATACTTCCTGTCTGAATCCATGCTGATTGAGAGACATATGCAATGGTTCCACGTACTTGAACCTGGAAAGTTAAAATGGGACAGAACCCGATTAATGGTCCAAATATATTCATAAAATCCATGGAAAAGTTGGCTTGAATGACTGCTCATTAAATGTCACGTGAATGGGGTGAATAGTAAGAACTTACAGTTCCTTGGATGATAGGAACCTCTCCTAGAATTGCTGCAAGAAGGGTTGACTTGCCTGAACCTACTTCTCCACAGATTGCAATCTTCTCACCAGGTTTAACCTCCAAATTAATGTTTCTAAGTGTTGGCTTTGATGGAGTCTCATCCCATGACAGATTTGCCGACTTAAGGAAAATGCTATGTTCTGTATCAGGTAAATCAGACTTCATTCTCACATTCGTACTTTCCAGCTCAGGTGCCTGGAGAAATATCACAATCCTGGCAAATGAAACTTTTGCTTGAATGACCACTCCAATAACATCAGGAATAGTTCTAACAGGGTCCTGAACAAGCCGTAATGTTGCTACAAAGGTGAAAACATTGCTAGCAGACAATGGAACACCAAGGAAATAGCAAGCGCCAAAAGTAGCTGCAGAGACTAGTACAGGGGATGACCAAAAAAGGAAGCTATTATATGCTTTACGCAACTGAACAGCCGACAACCATTTTTCCTCAATTTTCCGCAAATTCTCTATAACATTTTTGAAATGAGTTTCCCATGCATATAATTTCAACACCTTCATGTTCACAAGAGCCTCTGAAATAGCCTTCAACCTTTCATCTTGTGCCACCATGAGTTTAGTTTGGAACTTATGCTGTAATTTTGCGAGAGGAGTATTACAAAGTACAGTGAGAATGATTACTACCATGGATGCAAATGTCGCAAGTCCTACAGAACGGAATAGAATGAAGAGCGCAAGGCAAAGCTGGACGCTTGTTGTCCATGTCTGATGGAACCAGAACGGAAACTCTCCAATCCGATAAGCATCCACAGTGACATAGTTCATTATTTCACCACTTGAATGAATCAGCTTAGCAGCGTTAGACAATCTCAGTTGCTTCTTGTAAACGGCTGCTGTTAGAAAAGATCTTACCTTTAGACCAATTAGCCGGCTCCTAAAGTACCACTGTCTTTGAGATAAGGATTCGAGGCTCTTTGTAAAGAAAAGCAATATGGCCAATACATATCCCTCGTATTTAAAACTTTCTTTACCTTCGGCAACCATGATGAAGGCATTAAGAAGAAGTGGACCAGCAGAAAGAGTAATTACCTTTAGCAGTGCAAAAAAACCAGACACGAAGATCTCTTTCCAGTGGCATATAAGGATAGTCTTTAAGATTGAGGGTTCAACTGATGGATCGGTATGTTTTTGTCTGTTAAAAATCTCAGTGAATAGCAAGTAACACGACTCTGCTCGATCATCCTCGCGCAACTTCGGTATATCCTCGTCCTCAAGAGTTTTCTCCCTTCCCCTTTTCATCAGAGGATTCAACCACCAAAATGACAGTATACTGAAAAATCCGGCTTTTGCAAAGGGAGTGACATCACTGACAGAATGAGTTTTACAGGAGCCATTTCTTGCACCAAGCAGTGGAGCGTAAAGATCATTTTCATCATTATCTTCATATTTGTAGCTTCTATAAGTACAAAACAACAATAAACTAGATCCAACTAAAGACAAAACATCTAAAACTATCTTAATCGACAGCTTCTTTTCAATAACAGCAGTAACAATGGACGCAGCACAAGTAATTCCAGCAAATATGAAAGCTAGAATGGATAACAGCCTCAAAGGAACTCTTGAAAAGTACTGTCCCCTAAGGCTCACAGTTAAACCAACCAACAACCATATCAGTCCATGAAGCAAGAACATGGTCCACCAATGCAGAGGTAGAAGAGCTCCAGTGTTCCTCAACTTTTCTTCTAAAATCCAAATTCCCAAAGACAAATAAATCAATCCTAGAAGACCATTATAAATTGCTGAAATTAACCTCAAATTTGATATGCCGACAACCGTCTGCTGAGATTTTAATGATGTTTTGTAAAACACGGTGAACAGGAGCATGATTAAGAGCATAACATCGCAGCAAACTATCAATGCGTGATTAATACACATAAAAGAGAACGTTTTAAAAGCTAAATCATCACCGCACCCCATTTCATTACCGTCTGAACAATTATATGCTCCACAAAACGCAGTCCATAAATCCTCCATCTATTCTAGTAACCTGAATTGAACAGCAAAAAACAAATTCAAATCAGCAAGCAAATCCAACATGAAGAAAATATAAGAAATCGACACAAAATATCACAATTTTCTAACCAAAAAATTCTTATTCAAATCAAACAAGTTCACATATAGTCCGTCTCAAACCAACATAATCCTTTAAAAAAAAAAAAAAGTAACCAGTGATTTCGATTCACGGAAAAAAGAAATGAAAAAGTCGATTTTTCTTGGATTCTTGGCGAGGATATGATCCGTTAATCACATCACATGAGAAAGTTATAATAAATGATAGTAATAGCAGCAAACTGTCACCACTCAGTCTTGCGTACGTGTAATTTCCTGTAAAGAATGTATGAAAATTTATGATTCTAAATTATGAAATAGAGAAAAAATGGAAAATTTGGTGCATAAATTATAAATTAAGCAATTCAAAGCATTAACACGTTTCCAAATCCGGAATGAACAAAATTCAACTGTGTACCCATAATGTCGAAAATTCATAAAATGTGGATAAAAATAAAATAAAATTCCCAAGAAAAAAGATCATGTGACCAACCAGACAGAGCCAAAAAGTCTCAGGATTGTCGCCAAAGGCCCAAAACGTGGTCGAAAGCGTTCAAAGAAAAAAATCTGGAATACGAATAGTTATACACAAAATAAAACAAAAATCCATGTTTTTCTGTACACATATATATGAATCACTGAGTGCAGGTCCAGCATGTGAATGTTGTATGTATATACATATGTGGTAAGGTAGGTGGGGTGAGGTGAGGTGAGGTGGGATGGGATGGCGTGGGGGTAAAGCGCGTCATTGCTCACGTCTTTGAAAGATTTGGATGTTTGTTGTGTTTGTGTTTGTTTTTGATTCATTCATGGCTAGAGGCAGAGACGTATCAGACTGGGATATGTTAGTGTTTTTTTTTTTTTGTCTTTTTATTCATATTCATTAAAGAAATACCATTTTTTGTTAATTTTTGTTTGTATTCTTTTACCATTCATCAAATAAATACCATTTACCTGAATTTAAGTATTCAAAGATAATTATGGCCATTGGCACTAAAACAAACTGTATTCACATCACATTTTTTTATAATGTAATTTATAGTGAAGATTATTGGTAATCGTCCTACGTAACAGACACATGACTTTTTTTTATTTTGATGCATGAGACAACAAAAAACTACAACATTAATGTATCAAATAACAAACTGCTATTTGTATGTCACGTAGGACGATACCGATAATGTTCACTATGAATAGCAATATTCTTTATGAATACATCACATTTTAATTACATTATTATTAAACTTTATTCATTATCTCACTTATATCCTTAACTTAAACGTACAATGGACAAATAAGTCTTTTTTACTCAATCATAATCTGGAACAAATTATGTTAACGTGAGAATAAGAATGCGACAAAAAAAAAAAGTTTGAGACATAAATGTAATAATTTGTAAAAGTTATAAACCTTTCAAGCAATTAAAATATAGCCTAGTTATTATAAAAATGTAATGGGAATACATTTAGCCAATTTCTATATATGATGATTATGTGAATTTGATGAAGATAGACCAAAGAACATTTCACAGGTGGATCATTTAGCATACTGTGCTTCTATTTCTTTACCTAATTATTTACTTTACATTCCATTATTATGAACTGTTGTTATGTATTGAAACGAGACAAGATTGGGAAATTCTTGACTAAAATAAAAATTCTTTTTTCTCAATTTTTATTAGGGTGTTTATATTGGCACCACAGTTTTTATTTGTTATACTACATTTTGATTGCAGTTAAACTTCATTTTTTTCGTCGAATTTCTTAATTCAACATTCCATTAATTAATTAGTACATTTCGTCGTTGATGATGATTTATATCAAAATATATGTTTTCATACTTTGAAATGAAGGAAAAATGTATTTCGTACTTATTTATTTATTGAATGAAAAAATAAGTTATTTTACGCCATTTCAACGGACTTTTTTTACATAAACTATTATCAGATACAAAATATATTACTTAATGGAAAGTCTGAGGACAAGAATTATATGAAAAATCGTTATGGGCATAATTGCTATAATGAACCAAGATTAAGAATCATAAGTACAATTAAAATATGGTGTAAGAAATAAAAGCTATGGTGTAAATAGAATAATCTTCTTCAGTATTTGTAGAATCAACGTGTATTCGTTCATGTTAAATTTTCACTGCATCAATATATTTATTAGTCTTTTACATGAAATTCCCTATAATCAAATGCACATTTTTCTTTTTTCATTCAACTTTTTGTTATTTTAAGGCCTATAAGGAATCAGGATAGCCTTTAATTCTCTCTAATAATAATAATAATAATAATATTTTCAATTTTTTTTAAACACACTAAAAAATAACTTCTTAATCCCAATAATCACTTTTGATTTTTCAAAAATCTTACCAAACGAATACTTACTTTCTTTTGTATAAACTTACTACATTTACAAGAAAATTCAGCCACCCACCCACCCACCCACCCAAGTTTACTTAAGTGAGACAAATTATTCTTTTCTTATTCAACTTCATATTTTTTCCAAATTGCTGAATGATAATGATTGAATGTGATTTGTAATATTGTGGAATAACTCTGAAATCATTGTAATACTATTTTAATAATATATGACACAATTCTTGTACGATGGAATTAATAGCTCCAAATTTTGTCGGAGGTTGGATGGGACTTTGGATATAAGATGGAATAATTTATTGCAAAGTCGTCGTTGACAAGTTTAGGGTGAACCTAGATTAGGTGTTTGCGTGAGAAATTATTTGAAATGAAAAATAAATTTATGTATAATTAATAATAACATTGATTTTAAATAAGTTAGGTCAAACAAATGAGATAGAACATCTATGATTTATTGTAATTAAAGTAGTAATATTTTGTTAATCATTACACCCTTGATGGCACAACTTTAGGGCCTGGCCATTTTTTCCATGGAATTGAAAATGGAATTCCATCTTTTTTCCAAAATGAGTGTTTGATTGGCATCATTATCTTGCTTTTGTCCAATTCAATGATTTTGTGGAAAATCAATTCCCAATTTCATTTTTTTTTTTTTTTTAGTGCACATTGTCTAGAAAATCATTGAATCGATTTTCCTACAATTTTGGTGGGAAATTGGAATTCTAGGTTTTTTTTTTTTGGCAATTGGAACAAATTATATAACCAATTGTAAAAAAAAAAATTTCATTTTAATGAACAATTTTTATGTAAAACAAAGTCAAACGAATATCAAAAAATTCAAAATTTCAATATTTTCCACGTAGAAAATTATACTAATCAAACACAATTAATTGAAAATTTCCAAGAAAATTTACGCAGAACGGAAGTAAAAGATTAACCAGCGTAAATCTTGGAAATAAGAAAATTGAAATTCTCCAAAAACGAAACTTGTATGCAATCAATGATAATACTGGAAACGTTCAAAAGACCTTTAAATAGGCCTTAAAAAAAACCCTAAAAACATAGAATAGTAAAACATTCCCAAAATAGCTAAAATTGAAAATGGAAAACATGGAAATTAATTATTCGGAGGCCTAAACGAAAGAATTTGGCTAAAATCCCGAGATCATAGCCCCGAGTCCAATCTTTCGGGCCGTTTCCAATCAACCAACCCAATTTCAGCCCATTCCAACGCCGTCGCGACAAATGACAAAATTGCCCCTGACGCGATCTTTTTTTATTAATTTTCTGTCCAACACTTCTTCAAACTCCAAAACTAGTTGACCTATATCAAAAATAATTTTAGGCAATTTAATTCCCTAAAATTCATTTTTTTCCACTCAAATTTCACTATTGCAATCTAACATACCCTAAATATATTTGAGTACCAAATCAAAGTTTATTGATGCTCAAATCCCTAATTTTTTTTATTTTTTATTTTTAATGGCAATCAGTACCCACTAGATGTAAAACATCCAAAATCTATCATCGAAGTCTGACAAAGTTATTTCTTCAAATCTTTATATTTCTAGAAAAAAATAATTGAAATGTTAAAAAAAAAAAAAAGACAAAAAAGAAAAAAAAGGAGGAATTGTCTTCTTCATCAAATTGCCAAACGTCCTGCCACTACCAGCATAGTACTCCACCACCTGTCAAGAGTATCTTATCATCCAATAGGGATCAATAAAATAAAGGAAAATGCTACAAGGTGTACACAAAATTTTACACCCCCACATGACAGAGGGCTCACAAATATTTTATTGTGTGTGGGCCCCCCTCCATGTGAGTGGGGTGTAAAACTTTGTGCACTCCATTGTGTACACATAACACATCCCTAAAATAAAAGTTTAGAAACATGAACATCAATTAAGCAACTTTGAATGGGGATCCACCTAATTCAAGTGGCAAAATTTGAAACTAGAGCCGTATATTTTCCCTATTGGATCTTGACTTTGGTCGATGAAGTTTTGAAGTAATCTAAAATTTGAAGAAAGTTTTTGATACAAGAGCGAAGAGAATAATACATCAAAGTGCTTAACATTACAAAAATATATGGCGACTATGGTATTGTTAAAATTGTTTAAACTTGAATAAACTCAATTTGACGATCTATGTTCAGTATTTGATTTTATATACGATTATTACAAACGAGACTAGAACAAGATAAACTCTAAAGACTTTTAGTAAAGTCAAGTAGAAATAACTCACAACTAAACTTTTTTTATAGCTTTTTTTCCCCTTAAAAATGAATATTAGTGTAGAGATAATCATTATACTTTTTTATATTTTCTTCTCGTTCAATGATAGTACTAGAATATTTTTCTCATGTGAATAGTGATTCGAATGAAAAGTC